ACGTGCCAAATATCTTTGATATTGTATAATTTCCTCTAAACCACAGCCATCGGCAGGTACAACGACCCCTGCCTCGCGGGTCAGTTGCTCGGCTTCCTCACGCTGCATTTTACCCTTGGATTGTTGAATGGATTGCCACATCTCGTGTATTTCGCCCTTGTCAGCTCTGGCCTTCAATTTCTTTGCGTATACTCTGGCCACAACAAGTGATCGGGCTAAACACAAGCCATCTTCATTTGAAATTTGAAGAACACATTTTCTACTCAGTCCTCTTTTCATTCCCTTTTCAAAAAAAGTCTCCTTGTCCTGGAGGGGCTTCAGCCACATGGAGTTTTATCCAAAATGTGTCCGCACAGTCGAAACCATTGGCGCTCTGTACAATAGAGCTCACAAGATTACACAAATCTTGAAACTCGTATCCATTAATCGCACTTGGGCTTATCCATGCGTTGTCTCTTTGCATATTTGCAAAATTGAATGTGACGCACATTCGATTCATTCCGCGGCCACCGGCTTCTATGATATTATTGTAGACCTCTCGAAAAGCTTCTTCCACCCACTCGGTCGGATTGCGACCTTCAGGCACAGGGTTAACCCCTCAAGTACGGGGTCCATACCGCGCGGTGTATCCTCATCGGCCGGCAGCCTTCCGTCAACTCGAGTTCGCTGTTCAATACGCGATAACTTCTACACCGATGATCAGAAAATTATAATCTAAAATTTAATAAAGATCTTGAGCCTTCACGAAAACGTTATGAGACTTTCAATTTTTTCAGTGAGTGATTTTTCAAGTTACAACGCTGTATTATCGGAAAAACCGGGTTTTTCATGTTTTTCGGAAACAAAATTTCTTCAACCCGTGATAATAATTATCAAAAATGTGTTTAACGATATGAGAAGAATCAAACAAGTAGTTACATCTTTAGTGAATTTATATTCGTTGTTATGAAATCAATCAGACTGATAGTTTATTTATTATAATTATTCATGTAAAAAACGGGTAACTCGGACACCGTTTGCAAAGGAACAATCAGTTCAAGCCTAAAAATTGAAACAAAAATAATACATTATAGGGTTCTAAAAAGAAATAATTTGCACCTCTCAATTATTTTATAATAAAATTTTCAATTTATTGGTATTTTCGAGGCGTGGCCTGTGCGCTGAGCGTATTCGCTGTCAGTTGTACCGACGTGGCTCAGGGCCGTACCGTATTATGCATAGACAGATGTGCCGGCATTAGTCTTTGGTTGACTTATATTTTCTATTTCACAATATTTGAAATATATTTCCTACTAATACTCGAACCATAAACAAATTTAAACTCTGTTTCATATTTTTACTCAGTATCACAAGTCACAAGTACAAAGTATTCCGCTGAAATTTCACATCTCCCTAAAAATTTGATTATCCCGGTAATCAGTGACTTCAGGAAAAAATATCAAAAGACACTTTTTGTTGCTCATTCATGTATCTACAAGAAAGCTCTGTAGATATTTTCCCTTAGAAGGACTCATAACTGTAATAAGCATGTGATTAACAAAGATATCCTATTCAACTTATTGAATAATTTGGTTATCTTTCCTTAAATTATTAACATTCCACCACATTGCAATTTTTCTTTTTACAAACTACTTGAACCATAAATCAACTTATCATCTGTTACATATTTTCACTTAGTATCACAATCCACAAGTACGAAGTATTATGCTTTGATGTCAATAGTGATGAGGGTGTGAACTGGGACGAGTCGATTTCTCACATGTTGTTAAAAATTGTATTATCTAAGTGATCAGTGACTTTAGGAAAAAATATCAAAAAACATTTTTTGTTCTAAACTTTCCCATCTACAAAAAAGGTCTTTTGAGATTTTCCCCTGAGATTATCAATTTCCGAGATAAACAGCAGATAAACCAAAATCTTCAATTCGACTCATTATACTTGGTCACATCACTACTAAATCATTTATACAAGTCTCTATCAATAATATTCTTTGGTGTGATAAGCTTCGAAACACCCATCTACACAGAGACCAATATTACACTCTTCACACCAGTACACTGAGGTCTTTTTACGGCCATGCTTAGTACAGACGATACATCTTCTTTGAAGTGTCTTCTCTATATGAGTCTTGGGGATTTTCCTGATGAAATGTCGTCCACTGAGTCGTCTCAAATCTGTTGGATCCGGACGATTTGTCTGACCCCTCCCAGCATTGTACTTTATCAGAATCTCATTGATGAGCTCTGTCCTGAAGTCTAATTGACCAACATTCGTCCCTGTTCTTTTCTGGTAAATAATGTAGGCATTGACAACTGACGAATTCAAAAATCTTTTGAACAGTTTTATGTACCATTTATTAGATTTCTTACGCTCTAGAAGAAATGGCTGCATCAACTGGTCATGAAGATCAACTCCACCCATATACTTATTGTACTCTAAAATACACTTTGGCTTCTCTTTCTCCTTTCCTCTCTTAGTGACAACATCCATTGAAGCATCATGGAAAGTTGAAATCATTGTAACATTCTTCTTGTCGTACCATTTCATAACAGTGATATCACCATCGTGGCGAGCAATAATCTCCCCCTTCTTCAGTTTCTTTTCACTTACGACTGCCGGAATATGCTTTCTATTTATACGAAGCGTACCCACACAGTCTGTCTGATGGAACTTCAAATAAAAAGCCAAAAGTGGACAATTATAAAAATTATCCATCCAGAGGATGTGCCCTTGACCTAACAATGGTTGGACGAGCTTCAGAACGATAGCTGACGTCTTTGGTGTATCTACAGTCGCAAGCTCAGACTCCATTTCCGTATCTTTACCAAGGTATACAATGAACTTCCACAGATATCCTGTCTCAGACTCA